GGGTGTTGGGGTTGGGGCGGCTCTGGGGCCGTGGTGGGACCTGTGGGGGGACACAAGAAGGGTCCCTGGAGCGGTTCCCGATGGGGATCGCACGGCTCCGGCCCCTCCGTGCTCCAACGGGGGTGGGGAGGGTCCGGCTCCCCGCTCTGACCCCCCAAACCCACACATGGGGGGACATCGGGACCATCAGGAGAAGGGTGAGGTTGGGGTTAGGGAGATGGTTTTGGAGCCCAAGGAGATGGTTTTGTGCCCACTGAGATGTTTTTTGAACCCAAAATGGGTTTTTACTCAAAGGAGATGTTTTTTGACCCAAAGGAGATGGTTTTTGACCCAAGACGGTTTTGACCCAATGAGATGGTTTTGAGCCCAAGATGGTTTTTGACACAAGTAGATGACTTTGGCCCAAAGGGATGGTTTTTGACCCAAGAAAACAGTTTTGGGGCCCAAAATGGTTTTTGATCCCAAGAAGATGGTTTTGAACCCAAGGAGATGTTTTGGAGCCCAAACAAGAAGGGTTTTGAGCCCAAAGAGATGGTTTTTCACCCAAGGAGATGTTTTTTGACCCAGTGAGATGGTTTTGACCCAAGGAAATGGGTTTTGACCATTGCTGCAGGGGTTTTTGTGACCAAAATGCAGGACCTGGCACTTGGACCTCTGCAGAGGACTTCTCTGCAGAGAAACTTTTGGTCCATCGAGATAATTTTGATCCCCAGGAGATGATTTTTGGGGCCACTGAGGTTGTACCTCACCTCCAGGTTCCCCCAGGCTCCAGCAGCACCCCCCTCACCCCGTTTTTGGGGTGCCTGAAGGTTTTCCTCCCCCCCCATGCCGGTACCTCCTTCTTGTGGCTCCTCTTCCTCAGCCACCACCGCCTTCTCCTTGCCCGGAGCCGCCTCCTCCCGGGGGGAATCCGAGGGGGTGCTGGGTGGGACCCCCAAAGCTGCAGGGTCCTCCACATCCCCCGGGGCCACGTCCTCCACCTTCACCCTCACGGTCACCTGGGGGACACGGGGCTGCTGAGGGGATTTGGGTGCTGGGGACCCCCAGAAGATGCCCAGGAGATTTTGGGGCCCCTAAAAAGCTGCAGAGGGGATTTGGGTGCTGGGGACCCCCAGAAGATGCCCAGGAGATTTTGGGGCCCCTAAAAAGCTGCAGAGGGGATTTGGGTGCTGGGGACCTCCAGCAGTTCTGGAGGGGATTTGAGGTGCCTGGGATCACCCAAAAGGTCTCAAAAGTTTTGGGTGCTGGGGACCCCCAAAAGATGCTGTTCCAGGTTCCCAGGACCCTCAGAGCCACGGAGGGGATTTTGGGGCCCGGGAGCCACAAAAGCTCCTGAGAGAATTTGAGTGCTGGAGATCCCCAAACTCCCCAAAAGGGATTTGGGTGCCCAGGACCCCTAAAAGCTGCCAAGGGGATTTTGGGTGCCCAGGACCCCCTTTCCAGTTTGGGGAGGGTTTTCTTGGGAATGAGCTCAGAATCCCAGAGCAGAGGTGGGATGGAGCGGGAGGAAATGCAGGAAGGGGGAAATCATTCCCAATCCCCCTTCCCGCCCCACATCCGGACCCGCTCCCACCTGCTGCTCCCAAATCCCGTCGGGATCTGCTCGCCCCAGCTGGAAGCTCTCGGCCAAGGCCACGGCCTGCGCGCAGGACTCGGGGTGCCGCACCCACACCCAGCTCTGGATGTCCTCGGGCAGGATGCTCAGGAACTGCTCCAGCACCAGCAGCTCCATGATCTGCTCCTTGCTGCGCTCCTCGGGCCGCAGCCAGCGCTGCGACAGCTCCCGCAGCCTCCGCCACACGTCCCGCGGTCCCGCCGCCTC